ATATATATATATATATATACACACAATAATAATCTCTGAAATAATTATGTTATTGTTGCACACGAGGAAAGATATTTACGAAAATACGAAGTACAGGGAAATTTATAGTGTGTCACGTCAGAACGTGCACTTTGGTATGTTCAATAATACAAGCACTGTGCCTGAGTTTTAGCCTGTCTGAGTTTTAGACAACCAAAAGCATTTTACACGTATCGCTGCACTGTAAATACAATCGCATTTATTTTAAAAGTATGAAAATATCCACACAGATTTAAATTTGTCTATATTTTGGGCAATTTTTTTTACCAAAAAAAAAACTTAATTATTTTAAATAAAATCTATTTTTTAATTTTTTAGATAAAAAAGTACACAGCAGAAGTATATATAATATTTAATCTTTCTAATATAAATTTTACACAAAAAATAAATATCTAGACAAATTATTTGAATCTATAAATGTGGAAGAGGTTTTTGAAGGTTGCCACAGCTGTTGAGAAATAGAAAATTTGAATTTTACTTCTATCTCTGTCCAAACTCCCTTATATTTGCCATTTTTTAATTCAGGAAGCAACGTGTGTCGAATTAATTAAAACCGCGCAATAGCGATATCGCGATGTGTGAGCGAGATAGAGAATCGACGCGTAGAGCGCGCGAAAGAAAGAATGTGAGAGAGAGATAGAGATAGAGTCGCGATGTGGGATAGTTGCGATGAGAGCGAGTGCAGTGAGTTGACTTCGACAAGGCCGATGGCTGATTTCGCAGAATCTAGAATGTTCGAACCCACAGAGCAGGGAAAGGTGAGCTGATCCTTTTTTGGATACAGTCATTGGGCGAGGTCCTGTCAAAAGACGATGCGCCGGTAGAATTAAGCATGATCATGCTTTCGTGATTGCGCGAGATGACGTTTTTTTAAATGCATTCTTTCGCATGTGTCATACCGTGTGTTGTGCGAAAATATAATTTTTAGAAACAATAGCGGAAGTGTTAAAACAATGATATTCTTGATCAATTGCATAAATGCACCCACTATGATTTAGAGAACATTCGTTTTTGATTAAGTTGAGAGGTTAAGTTTCCGACTTAATTTGACATTTCGTGAATAAATTTAAGACAAGTTGTCCATTTTTTTTTGCGAGAATTTAAGTTAAGAGAATCGTAAAAGTGTAGATGACTTTTGTTTTTTGCCGCATAAAATAATTTAATCTTGACATTTCGCAGTTTCCGTTGTAAACAATATAGTTGAATATTAGAATGTTCAAACATCATTATATGCACAATTATGGTACAGATTAGTGATGCAATAAATGGAATTGTTAGCTCATTGCAAGTTGTTGTTTCGTAGATCTGATAATAATCTTCTTGATATTAGGATCTCTGCATCCATACTGGTGTAGTTCTTCGTGGAGCAAATGCTAGGGAAGACGAGGTCCATAGTTCAGGAACGCTTAACATTGTGGAATATGTAAGACCTTGCTATTGCAGTTAATGTTATTTATCTGTACAGATACGTTATATAAAATACATTTATTCTTATGCTACAGAGTTTTGGCAAATGCATAGAATGGAGACCCGTAGAAGATTCTGTGGTATCAGAATGCCAAGATCAAGATCCAGAGTGGTCTTTAGTGGATACACACACAAGAAGAACTCGTACAAACTCGGAAGGTCCAGATTCTCTTGGGCGTGCCAGAATCGTTAAAATCTTATTTTCTGATTTAAAGTCTTTTCGCGTGAATCATGGTGGACAACAACTTATATTTATGCAGAGAGATGGTACCACCTATGTTGCCTTCTTTCAGCTATGCAACGCTGAAAGTTTTATTAATTCATTGAAAGTATTTATTAAATTCGTAAAGTCACGTTCGGATAAGAACTTGTATCTTGTTCTGGATGAAGTTGAATCTGTATTAAAGAAGTCTTTTGCCGAGTTAGATCTGTTTCAAGAGAATACTTCCGATTATGTATGGAAATTTGTAAAAAACCTACATAATCGTCCTTATGAAACAACATTGGAGGCATTCAGCAAACTTGCAGATATTTGGTGTAAGTGGATAGATCGATATTTAAAAATTAGTTTATCAAATTATAATTTGCTGTATTATAATTTGCTTGTAGACATAGGTATTCTGATGTTTGTATGTTATATTTAACATTACAGTGTATAAAGAGCCAGTAAAGCGACCAGTTGAAGAGGCAGTTGCTGATTTATTAAATCAGTCTCTTACAATTCAGCCTCATCCACGTGTTTCTGTATCTGTAGGATCTGGGGAAGAGTATGAAGTGATTGGAGTCGGAATAGATCTACCTCCGCGATCGCCATGTCCACGAGGTAATATATCAATATGAATTTAAAAATTATTGTACAATAATAGCAGAACATATCAGAATAATAATATATAAAAATTTTAATTATACTCAAATAAAAGATTTGTAATAACAATAGGCGCACCATTGACTCAAGAACAGTGGGAGAAATATAAAGATTCAGAAGGTAGAATTAACAATCCAGAGGCTGTCAAAGAAATCATCTTTCGTGGGGTATATATTTCAATATTTTTCAGTATTAATATTTTTAATGTAAAATAAAATTCTGTGTTATATTTTTATAGGGTGTTTATCCATCATTACGATTTGAAGTGTGGAAATTTTTATTGAATTATTATCCATGGAAATCAACGCATAATGAAAGATTAGAGCTGAAGAGGAAAAAGACTGATGAATATTTCACAATGAAATTGCAATGGCGTACATTCACATCCGCGCAAGAAAATCGATTTTCTGATTATAGGGAACGAAAAAGTTTAATAGGTAACTAATTCATTATTATTTATATAAAAATAATATATTTCTAGGTTTTGAATCAAGGATTATATATCTTTATGATGTTCTTTCAGAAAAAGATGTTAACAGAACGGATAGAACACATGCTTATTATGCAGGCGATAACAACCCTCACTTAGAGCAATTGTACGACATACTTATGACTTATGTAATGTACAATTTCGATTTAGGATATGTTCAGGGAATGAGCGATCTTCTTAGTCCTATCTTATTTTTAATGGATAATGAGGTTGATGCATTCTGGTGTTTTGTTGGATTCATGGATAAAGTGGTACGTCTGATGGTCTTAGAATAATAAGATAATATGCTGTCATTGCTTGCAAGTGTACGAATTTTTATTTTGAAACAGAGCACTAACTTTGAGATGGATCAAAAAGGAATGAAAGAACAATTATGCCAATTATATACATTATTGTGCACCACGGAGCCGCAGTTGGCATACTATCTAAATAGACATGATTCCGGCAACATGTTTTTTTGCTTTCGATGGTTACTAGTACTTTTTAAACGAGAGTTTAGTGCGATTGACATATTCAAATTGTGGGAGACCTTGTGGACGGGTCTACCTTGCAAAAATTTTCATTTGCTTATATGTGCAGCTATTTTGGACACGGAGAAGAATATTTTAATAGAAAACAATTATGGATTTACGGAAATTCTGAAGGTAATCAATAGCATATTTTCCAGAATAATAATGGCAAATGGTTGCTGTCAAAATCTAACATAGTCTAACGCTATTATTCGCAGCACATAAACGATTTGTCACTTCACATCGAATTGCCTTGGACCATTTCTAAGGCAGAAGGTATTTACTATCAGCTCATGTCCGTGGCAGATCAGATTCCTGATGATGTACGTGTAATTATTGGATTGGAGCCATTACACAAGTCAACGTCAATAAATGATAGTGATGACGAGGCATCCAGTAATTCTCGGGCTAATGGAATTCGTAACAATTCGAGGAGAAATAGTTCAAGCAGCGCCAATGTTAAATTAGGAGACGATGAAGTTTCATTTGAACGTGGATTGAATATGTCGTATATGTGAAGTCAGAACTGGATTTTTATAATGATTCATTAATAGAAAGCCGATTGAAAGTCCTTATTTTTATTGTAATTTTAATCTGAAGAAGTCTTATATATAGATATAGTATTATTTTCAAAATATTATTGACAATAATTTCCACATCATAAAAGCGCGTTCCTATTGTGTACATTATATATCGATCGGATTTCTCTCAATCAGGCAGTAGATTGAATTTTTTTTTTTTTTAAGACATGATTGACTGATTATTGAAATGTTGTGATTGAGATTGAAATTCTAAAGCATATGAATGTAATGAGTACATTCTGAGAAGTACTATTAGTAGTGTTGAATTTTGAGATATTTATAACATTTATTGTGCATACAGAGACCAGCAAAAATAGTATGTGCATATGCAAGAAAACCACGAAGATATTTTAATGTCAAAAAGAAAACTCATCAAGATGATTGTAATGTGTAATTTTTGATTACGCAAAAACAGGATAAAGATCACAAATGATAAATGTTAAACATGCATCACATTCACCTAAGTTAAAGCCTCTTTTTCAGATTTGTATAAAGTCTCACAACATGATTGTATATTTCTAATAAAAATCATCTATTAGTCTTTCATATTTATTTTTCCTATGTATTTTCTTTACTTCTTAATACATTTTATTCTATATTAGTGTATATAGATTAAAAATTTATATTTAACAATACAATTGAAATAAATAAATTTTAAAAAATTTCTATTGTCTTGAATTCTTGGTTTGTTCATTGCATAAAATAAAAAGAAAGTTTAATAATCAAACAAAGATACATGTAGACATTTCAACATTTCTGATCATTTCACGTTGGATCAGGTTGGATTTCATGTGGGCTCATGGCATTCGTATGTGAAAATTAGACGTGGAAACATTAGAATTTTTTATATTGATATAAACTCAAGTGACTGCCACGTAGGTATTACATCTGGCAAAGCATGGAATTTGTTGCCACAAAACGAAGCAGAAAGTGGAAAAAGAAGCGATATTTGAAAAAACGATTGCGCGAACGAACTCGAGTTGAGGTTAGGTCTGCAAAGCATTGCAGAGTTTTTCCCAAATATATTGATGCTTCTGATGCACGAGAAACACTAGCAACGGGCACGATGCAGGCCGATTCTTTTTGGGCAAATTATGGAGCATGCGAGGAATGGCAAAAAAGGTATGTTTGCAAAATTTATTTAATTGTGTTCTATTCTTTCTCTGTTATATTTATTTTATTTCATAGATATGTTAAAAAATAACATTTATTGTTTTGCTCGGATAAATAATTATAATTCAAACATTAAATATTAAAAAAAAAAGCTGAAAAGAAACTGGTTTTCCGTGGACGAATTAAATTTTAAAGAAATTGTTATTTGCAGACATAGCGTAACCTGGTGGAGATCACGGTGCATTGCTCTTGAACATGAGAATGAAATATTGCGTAATAAATTGAGATCACTAGCTCAGCATTGTGGTTACTCTGATGTAATGACCCAGAAAAATAATTATCATGAAGAAAGCAACAATCGGGATGCGCAGGAAGCAGCAGGTTCCAATTCAAAAGGTGAAGATCTTGAATTCCATGTGACTGAAGATATGCTGAACTTTTTTGAAACAAGTGAGAGACATAGAAGAGAGTTACAAAAACATAAATCTAAAAATAAAACTGTATATGAGAAAGAAATTGCAAAACAGATTCCTATCATGAGTGTTGCTGAGAGTGCTCGTGCAAAGAAAGAAGAAGCAGCTCTGTTGTACGGTGATGCTAGTTCTAAAATATTAACAATAGAAACTACTCTACAAGCTGCAGTTGACAAATATAAGGACACAGCAAATCCTCAATATTGGCCAAATATTCCTCTCAAACCTTAGGATAATTAAATTAAGTTTGATATTCTAGGTTCAAATTTAATGTATTTCATATCTATTATGAAAATATATCTTTTCTTGTCCATAAATTGTATAATTTAGTAACGTTATTAAAATAGTAATTACATTTTCTTATTTCTTGTTACATTTTATTACATTCTATTGAATTATTTGTCCAACATTCCTTCTTTGATGTGTAGAATAACGAAGAGATGGCGCCGCCTTGATGTTTCTTTGCATTGCTCGAAAATCTTTCTTTATATACACAAAAAATATGTCTTATACATATATTTGCGTGATCAATATAAGTCTATACAAATACTTTGTGATAATTGCGGCTAATTGAAGAAAAAATAAAAAAATTTATATGAAAAAAACCTGATTGAATTTCTTAAATGCATGGTTGCGTATAGAAAGATTCTATTCAGATCATCTTTTGTCGGAACAAAATTCGATCCACGAAATCGGATTTAACTAAAGTCCAGTTGAATCGCAACACGTATAGAAACTATAGTACAAGACTCGATCTATCGTGCCAGAGGCAATATCAAGTTGTTTCTCTCGTCGAGTCGTGCGCGGCAACCGCGTGGACATAAATGACACCTATCATATGAAATATACCGGGGGAAGCAATTAATAGGTAATCTAAACGACGCGGCAATTACATTCACACATTATTATTACTCGGATCAGGAATAATCGATAGATCTGAAAAGTGTTATTGCCGCGTGCGATGCAATTGCCGCATTACACACGCATGAATGCATGCACACAGACACGGCGAGAGAAAAGAAAGAAAATGAGAAAGAGCTCGCGACAAAGATGTTTGAGAAAATTTTATACACATCCAAGCATAAAGATAGACGCTTTAGCACCTACTGATTTTATTGTGCGTATGCGCAAAGTGTGTTATTTAATATTTTTTTTAGTAATGCTGAGATAGAAATGCTGACGATGCATAAGAAGGAAATGCATTGTATATCTTTTTATTTAAATTACTTAATAATCCATTTATTGTAAAGATGTATATTCGTAATGAGTAATAATATTTATTTCGCGGTCGAAGATCTCGAAGATGCAATATTAAATCGCGAAAAAATCTTCCGAAAATGAAAAACTGTAAAAAATGTGCGGATTCTTGTGTCTATTAGTGTCACATTCCAGTGAATGCATCTTTTGATGCTGCGTCTGGTTGTCTTCCACGTGTAGAACCATTCGAAATGAAGTCCGTGTCGTGCGCGCGCCTCCGTAACTCAATTACCGCATTGTGTTCATGCCTTTGATTACAAAGATAGATTTACCATATGTACGATGGCGAGAGGGTAGCTTGCTTATGATGCGATGCTCAAGACTGCAACTTCTACATGAATACGCAGGTAAAATATTTGATATTAGACATTCAGACTCTCGTAGTCTACCTTCTTTATTGCTGATTGAACACGGCATCGCTAGAATGTAAGGATTTGCGTCCTGAGAAAGCTCGAGCGTTTTTGCGAAGAATTTGCGTAAAATAGATTACGTAAAGAAACAAAAATATCTAAAAAGACTTTATACAAAATTCAATTACTTAAGCATGCCGATTAAATCAATGCTTGGCAGGAACTCACAGAATTTGTATGGAATTTTTAAAAATCTATATTCCTTCCTTAACTCGTAATATTTGCTTTTTGCCTGTTTACGTCCGCAATGTATTGAAATTGATAATAGTTAATTAAAATTAATATTACAGATTCAAAGAAAATCATACGCTATATATTGTTGCGTAATATGTTTACCATTAACTTGACCCGTAAAAAAAAAAACCACATGCTTCTTTTAATTTGTTGTGATGGAAGGGTTTTCGAGCGTGAGTAACGCATCTCGATAAAAGATATCATGTTGCTTGTTTAATTCGGGGAAATAGAAGACAGGGCATATCGAGGTAGATCGGTCGAGCCATCAAGTACGTTATCTGTAGACCAAACCCGCGAACAAGGGCCGTAGAATTCTAAAAACCAGTTCGTGAGATTCCACCATCGGTTACCACTGTCCGAAGGAAAGCTTCTAATTATCGAAATAACGCATGTCGCGATGTCGAACCCCGCTTGCGTGTCGAGCCAAGCTCTATCTTCCAGTTACACTCCCACGTGATATCCAAAAGTGGTTCCGTTTTCGTTAGATTTAAATTATCCGCGAGCGGAGGCTTTATATCTTTTTCCGTAGATAAATGCGGACGCAAAGGATCGTCTACGTTGTTTATGGACGGAGGAAAGTGCGCCCTAATTGCGACTTAATATATAACTTGGACAATGCATTTAGTGAGTAATGATAAAATTAACGATCGTCATGTGGATGATTCTTAAACTATATATAGCTACACACCAATGACGTATGCAAACCTATATGTATAGCACACATGTGCATGACATGGCTGACTTAACTTAACGTCGTTAAATTATTTATTTTTATTCGACGAGCTGTATGACTTATAGATGGCAAGTATCCAATCAGCGTTGAACACGTGACATGCAAAATGTCCTTCTCTTTTCCCGGTAAACCGGTCGATCCTACGCAAAGTAGCTGTTCTCAGTCAAGAGAGTCGCTTTATATTCCTTGTACAACTTTCATTTAGATCTTTATCGATTAACTTTCACAGTGTATTCGCGTATTGCACTTCATTGCTTGGCTCTCGGCATTTGTAAACTTTCGCGCGAGTACAAAATATCGAGGACTCGTGTAATAAATTTACATTTCACCCCGCAATATCGATGAGGATCGTTACGAGGCTTTCACGAATCGCATATGAATGTCGATTAATTTCCAAGAATTTCTAGGTGTCGCAATGCTACCAAATGAACCTTTTACTAGTTTTTGGAAATCTCTAATAAGAATCTGTAGTTCAACAACATCTCATCAAATGTTGAAATTACGAATTAATAGTGTTACGTAAGAGAACACGATAGAAATGCTTCTTTACGAACACCGAGCAACTAACAAATGCCCTCAGTAATAAACATTCTGACGTAATAATTATTGTTCATTATTTGCGAATAAGCAATTTCGCAAAATTGTACTTTTATTACGCTAATGTACTTTTTCCCCGCCCTCATAAGACTTTTCTGCTAAATACACAAAAGAAAAAAGTTATTAAGTTGATATCGCGGGGCGCATGCTTTTGCAGTTAAAGGCTCTTAAAGCAATTTGTCTTCAATTACCGGAAGACACACTCTTTGGGGCGCAAAAAAAAAGTTGAAAAGCATCCATTTTGAGTGCTCGAGATCTCTCACCCCCGAAGTCGTGCACTCCCCGAAGCTTTCATTTCTCCCGCGCTCAATTTCCCTCTTTTTCTCTCTTTCGTCTCCTTCGCGAGTCGTCGCGTCGCATTTCAGAATTGTCCTACCATGTATTTGCAATCTCATTGGGACGTTTTAAGACTCATCTTTCGTGCACAAGACGGTGAGAGGGAAAAAGAATCGCGGAAGGCGCGGCCACAGAGAAAGAGAGAGAGAGAGAGAGAGAAAGCGCGCTCGCTTTTTATCACATTCGTGTCATTAGCGGCCGCTATGAGTTCCTATAAGTTCGTATCGCGAATCCGCATCGAGCGGAAAGAGTTGACGCGAGTCGCCTGTGAGGACGATCAGGACGTGGACGTCGTGAAGGCACCTACGTTCCACTCGCCTTATTAAGCGTCCACTTCCCTCCCCCCCCTTCGGCTGGTACCGCGTCACCCTTCCTCACTTCTCGCTTCTCTCCCGCTCTGCGTAGCTCTTAAAATCATGGCTGCACGTAACCGTCTACTGATTATATGGATTCGGCGATGATTTCTGATGATGCCCCCGACCCCCGAAATGGTAAAATAATACAGTGTCGTGTCCTAGCCCGGACCCTTTCGGTTCCGTGGGCCGGTTCGTTAGCGGGGCCTTGGCGCGAGGCACCCTGTCATTATGCGGCCTGGTCCCCATCACCCCCACCAGTATCCAATTTTCGGGTTACCCCACCACTGCGCGGACTCGACAAATCCACCATGCATCCATCGCCAGCCGCTCTTCTCTCTTTTTCTTAACACACGCGCTCTCCTCTCTCTCTCTCTCTCTTTCTCGACCGGGGGCTCGGCGTCATCGCCGTTGTCGTCTTCCTCTCCGGCGCTACTATTCTACGCCGTCGCCCTTACGACGTCGCTCATTTGTATCGCGTGAATCGTCGTCGTGAGAAAGTATTCCGACCTTTTCTCTTGCATATACCTGTGCGCGCTTTCCGCCGCGCCGACGCTGACGATGCACCCGAACACGCGCGTTACGCGCGGCCACGGTTGTTAACTCTTTTCAGAATGGAATAGAAAGGATCCCTTAAAGTGTCACGGAAACTCGGCAAAAATTGTATTTGTGACGTTTGTAAATGCCCCTCGCCCCCCCCCCTTTTCATGCCGTTGTGAGATAAAGTGCTCGGTGTTCAACGTCATTTGCCGCCTTCAATTATGGAAATGTGTACACGCTTACCACTTCATTGTAGAATATTTGCTGAATTAATATGTAATGTTTATGTTTCTCGACAGAAAACAAGCAAAGCGAATCAATTATAATTTCAAAATCATAAATAATACAATAGACATTAAAGTGGAGATATTTTAATTCACATATTTCATAATTCTGCAACTTTATCTCAAGAAAAGCTTCGTTAAATAAAAAAAAATGTTTTAGATTGATGAAAGTGAAAGGAAACGCGGCAAATTATTATCGCGCGACGTTGATGTTGAGAGGATATATCCTGGCAGTTATTTTCTCGCCTGCGAATATTTTTACGACATTCGAGCAAGTATCGCGCGCACGAAATACTAGAGGCAATCACGACTATCAGACATTTGAAACTCGTAACTCGATCACGCGTTACCTTTGTCTGGAAATGTCGTCGTGTCTACGCTCGCAAAGTAACGTTCCTATTTTCTCTTCTTTCTCGCTCTTACAACTTTGATACGATTATACGATAATACGATTTTTTCGGTATCAGAAGTATATAAATCCCACATGAGGATATTTTCATCAGCAGCCGTTTTCGCAAAGCTCATTGTTTCCCGCAAATTGTGTGGAATATAAATGTAAAATGTCTTACAATATTCCTTAAGTGATCATTTATCAATACATTTATTTATCTCCGGGAAGAAATGAGAGACACAATGGTTGATTTCTAATTGTTCAAAGTACTCACCCGACGCATTGTTGTCGATTGTCGAGGAGAATGAGACGGGCGACGCCTGCCGGTAGGACGCCGTCGGAAGTGGATCGGCAAAACTGCGGGGTTCCACTCGTATTTTTCTAAAATGTGGTCCGTGGTCCAGCATCCTTGGGAAGCTCCCGTCCTTGAGGTTGCCTCTCTTTGCGGGTGTAGGTGGTCCCCGCGACCGGTAATCATTTCGCTTAATGACGAGAGCGCTCGGTCCTTTCCTTTCTTCGCTCTCCGATTATCGCGGCGTGGTTCTTCTCTCATATCCACGGACCACTTCGGTTTCCTTCCCTTCTCCGCGTCCTCGCCCTCTGCCCCCGCTACCACCTTTTATCTCTGAACTCTGTAATTTTCCTCTAGCGACCGTGCCACCATGTCGCGCCGAAATTGGTGTACGGTCGAACGATTTCGTGGAAATGTGCGTGGTCGCCGGAGAAGGGGAAGGGCATAACGGTGACGGTGGCACTTCCATTGCGAGCTGCGACCTCGCGGCACAGAAGAGGAACGAGAAGGGGAGGAAAACGAAGAATCGGACGAAAACGAAGACGAATGAGCCGAAAGAGAACGACGAGAATTAGGAGAGAAAAGGTAATAAGTCGGAGGAGAGCAGGAGGCAAATCGGAGGCCAGAGAGAGGAAGTCTCGTTCCGAGAACGGCCGTTTGATGAAGAATCGTTCGCCAGTACCGAACGCTTCGCTTTCCTCTTGACGAAGAGGAGATTCGCAGGTGCGCCAATCTCGCTGCTGTGCTGCAAGCTGTAGGGGTGCGGGCAAGCGTGACAACACGCAACATTTCTTTCTATCATGCCAAAAATGATACACATTGGCCGCAGATTGAAGTCATTATTATTACAAAGAAGGGTTTTTGTTGCCGTGCCGACGACGACTGTCGATGCCGATGCCACCTTGCCGAAAACACCGTAGATGCGCTGACGACTTCCCGAGAAGTTCTCCTCCCTCGCGCGCGGTGAGATTCGGCGCAAACCGAAACGCACATTCCCACGTCATTAAAGCTAACTACGCGCCAATCTTCGAAATACACTTGTCGCTTTCGCGGAATCGCGAGGAGCGCGCGCATCCGTTAATCGCACGTTATTTTCCGCGCCGCGAGAAACCCGGGGAGCGACTTCCGTGCAGACGACTTAATTTCCGGGAAATACATTCGCGTGTCGCTACAATGTTATGCGCGCCGTCATGTTACGTGATGATAGGCGCGGTGTGCGCCTAGTGGAGCTTTCTGCCCGCTTCGCTTCCAGCACCTGCGAGAAAAGCCGGACGGTGCGCCCGGTCGGCCGAGCAAACAATACGGACGATGATGCACCATCTCGAGCGCATTGTCCGCAGCGGCGAATAGTAGTAGGCGGTGGATTTATCTGCCTACTCGTAGAGTCAGGTAGAGAAAAGTGCAAGAGAGAGAGAGAGAGAGGAGGGGGAGATCAGGGGTCCTCGACCCTCGGGACACATCGCATCGTCGAACGGCGGCCGACCGACTGCCGCCGTTGCCGTCGCCGCCGCCGCCGCCGTCGGAATCGATGGATCTTCCTTTCGTTCCGGACTGATTTCGCGCGGCTGGTGGCAGAGCATCGATGATCTACTAGCCATCGATAAACTCTGCATGTTACCGCTTCCTTATCGAGATGATCCTTCGATGGCTTCGGCGTATATCAGTGAATTGTCGTAATAGTCGGTTGCATAGGTCCGTGAGTGAGGTGCGCGTTGCGATCCGATTCGCGACGCTTTTACGGAGATTGGCGCTTTACTACCCCGTCGTAATTGTTGTTGCAAACATGCAACTTTTGATTGCCGCTACGTTGCGTGTTTGGCGAATGTTTCAATCGAGAGCTTCCGCAACTGAGAAAATGATGACAGTTTAATGCTAAAGAGATATCTTCTTCATATTTTACGAGGGCACTTGCATTTCTTATAAATTTATCAATCCGGTTATCTCCACGACGTTGTATCGTAAAGAATATTGGCACTTTGGATGATCGAGTATTTATAATTTCGTAGAAGAAAGTATCATTCAATCATCAATGCGTATTATTTGACGCGTAATTATACGCTCGTAAACATTAGGTTGTGAATGAAGTAATTTCGGATTTTTCAGATAAATTTGTCTTTTTTTTTACGTAAATTGAATAATTATTTGTTCAAATTGTAATCAAATTTTCGAAATTACTTATTACATATCGCAATATATCTGCAGTATTGATATTGATTCATAATTCCGACGATTTCCAGTTCTCTCTACCAAAGAGATAATATAATAAAACCAGAATTATAATACTGTAAACTCTTAAGTAAATAATTTAGCGCTTGCGGAAATTGTCTAACTAATAATATTAATTACTGCTGTGTCATATTACTCGCGTTTGCGATGCGAAATTTGAAATATTGTATATCGTTTGATTATAAATTTTATACCTTTATGTCTACTAACACTCTTACCCTGACTTTGTAGACTTAACAGGACATGAAAATTAATATGCCGCTGAAAGTATATTTAGAAGTTTCCGCCGTGTAAAATAAATGTCGCTATGAAAATATAAATTTACGATAAAAAAAACGTGGGGCATAAATTAACAGACTGAAATTATGAAATATTATACGCAAACTTTTCGTAAATATTAAAAATTCTTTGACTTAATTTTAAATTTCAATACGAGATTGCAATTTGTATTCGATTTTAGCCGATAAAATAATGAGACATGACATATCGAAGGAACGTCTTGACTTAAACATTCTTTTTGTAGATATTGATTCGCATAATGCGCTTTTTTATGGGACAGCACGTTCCTGCAGCTTTTCTCGCCACGTCATGAAATTCCAGTGCCTTTGCGATTTATCTTTCGCCTTAAGTCAGCGGATAATTCGTAGGGCACACTCGGGGAACATTGTTTGTTCCAAATATCCTTTCCGTCCGAAATCTCGATCAATACGCGTTTCAGAACATTCCAGCGGCACATTCCAGCAATCATTTCTCCCGTGGTGACAAAAATCCCATTTTCGTGATTCGTTCTATCTGGCCATTAGTCATTGCACAATTCGTACGACATATCGAGAGATCCTTTCTTCCCCAGGCATCCTTCGCACAGGATTTAATTTATGTAATGCGCGTCTCTAGGAGACGGCACGTAGCAGTTTTTCCCGTCGCGTCACGAAATTCCAGGACCCTCGGTGAACAGGAGGCTCGTAGAGCCGGGCGCGGAATGAGCGCCGACGGTAAGTCAGTTCTTCGCATACCGAGCGCTCAGGTAGGTAGGTAGGTGGAAAGGTAGGAAGATGACGAAGAGAAGCTGAAGAAGGAGAGAAAGCGGGTAGTGCGAGCGAGTCGGGGCATGCGAGCGGGCGGGCGGGCAGGCGGGCAGGCGGGCAGGCACGCAGGCAGGCGAGCAAGCAGGCAGGTAAGAGAGTTTGGTATGGTCTAGCTGCTCGCTGCCGCGGAGCGCGTTGAATGCCGGTATATCGGGCCCCGGTATACCAGCGCTCCGCCGCTCCCCTCTCCAAGATGGCCGCCGGTCCAGCCGTGAGTCCCCCTGACTCACCTGAGCCAGGCGAGTCCGCCGAGTCAGGGGAAGGGTAGACCTTGCAGGTGCCGCCATGTCAGTGCATGCCTAACTTCGTAGCCGCGCGGAACGGACGTTGGGCCCGAGAAACGCGACACGTTCGTGCTAACCCCCGTGTGCTCGAAGGGGCCTTTGCTATTAGCCCCGGCGTAGTTCGCACCCACGGATTAGTCGTCGTGATAAATGTGATATCGGACTTGTTTGATCGAAAGACGGGGAGTCGATGCGCGTAACAGTACCCGTTAGAGCGACACCGAGTGCTCTCTCCGATCGAGAAACTCCGATGCAGAAGCTGCAGCCGGAGATATCAATGCGCGAATAAGAAACGTTCGAATCGAGGCGCGTACTCGGCTGTGCCGAATAAGTGTACACGCGATTCGCGAATATATATATATATATATCTCTATGAACCATTGGTGCGTATTTTCGCGTTACTTGACATAATTTGCGTGTAAATGCATTATTTATTTTATCACCGAAATTGTGTGTACATCGACCAAGTGACAGTTGGAGGGATAACGTCAATTTTTCCGTTCGAACGACGACACGCTCGCGAGCGTGTTTATCCGCTCACCCGCTCGCTTCGTCGTCCAATGGCAAACTGGTCTCTCGCCTAATCGTTAGCTCCGGCTCGGATTTGATCGACGATCCGGAATACGGGAGCGGACGCTTTACGTACAGCCGGTGAAAATGACAACGGCAACGACCGGCCCGGGACGTTGCGGAACGAATTAGGCGCGCCGTCATCAATCCGCGAGCCGCACGCCGAGGAGTAGGAAGGAACGCGCGTGTTCCAAGGACAGACGCGCCAAGTGTCCGACGGCACACGAGGCATGACGATCATGTATGACGCGGGACGATCGCGCCGGGTTCACGACCGGTCGTGCTGATCGTCCGTGATTATCAGGCCGTGGAGGAATGTGCCATATTTCGCCGCTCAGATATCCCGGTGACAGCGAGCGTGGCGGACAGCGCCTACGCGTCTGAAGGCGAGGGACAAAGACGGGGCGAAACGCAGGGTCGTAATAGCGTAGTTTGGCGAAAGAGAGATATACGCTGATATGTCCCGGAGGATTGTATCGGAGAGCAGTGGCCGCGGGAGGTCGACGACACAGTGAGACAATTGCCGGTTCTGTACGCGAACGTACGTTCTTCTCCGCGAAACAAGGGTAATGCGTGTGTACGCGTCGCTGAAAGTGATACTACTCGCGAGAAAGCAAGGATAAAAGCAGTGATTCGGTGATTGCTTGGTGCTGGTGCTAAAATAGGTGGGTGATAAAATAAAGGTGCCGGTGAAAAAAAAAGAAAAGAAGAGCGTGGCAATCTCGCGGTTTCCGTCTTCGAGAGCGCGAAAGAAGGATTGCGTGTGGAAGAAGAAAGAGAGGAAGGACGAGAGAGAGAGAAAGAGAGAGAACAGAAGTGCGCGGGACGGCGCAAAGACGCACTCGAGAAATCGGTGGAGAACGCGAGAAATAGTGAGATTCATTCCGTTCGTAATCGTGTTTGCGGCCTCTCGCGACTAGCGGCCGCGCGTAGGAATGGAGAGATCGAGATAATATCACGGAACGAGGTCGAGGTGGTGGAGGACGGCCGTGGCGGTGTCGGCGGCCCCAGGATGCGGTATCTACTGCTGTTCTTCCTCGTCCTGGGAGCGAGCCTCGCCCCGGACGCGCTGACCGAGTCCTTGACGCGCGTCAAGGAGCTGGAGGTGTCCGAGAATGTGCGGCCGGGCACCCGAGTCGGCTACATCGACGTCGATAATCCGCCCTATCTCATCGTCTCGATGTCAGGCCCGTCGGTGGACCGCGACTTGAACGTCGACATCTCGACCGGCGAGATAAAGACGCGGGTGCCGCTGGACCGCGAGACCCGTCCGTCGTACGCGCTGGTGGCGCTGCCGCAGAACCTGCGGGTCGTCGTGAACGTGCTGGACGAGAATGACAACGCGCCCACCTTCCCCGTGGATCACGTGGACCTGGAGTTCCCGGAGAGCGCGCCGGGCGGCACGAAACGCGCCCTGCCGCCCGCCCAGGATCCCGATCTCGGCCTGTACTCGACGCAGCGCTACGAGATCATATCCGGCAATCACAACGGCGTGTTCAGGCTGGTGCAGCATCGCGGCCGCGACGACGTGCTGTACGTGGATCTGCAGAACGAGAAGCTGGTGGATCGGGAGAGTCGCGCGCACTATCGCCTCGTGATCGAGGCGCTCGACGGCGGCGCGCCGCCGCTTCGCTCGCGCCTCTACGTGAACGTGACGGTGCAGGACATCAATGACAATTCGCCCGTCTTCAATCAATCGCGCTACTACGCCAGCGTGCCGGAGAACGCGACGGTCGGCACGCCGGTGCTGGCGGTGAACGCGACCGACGCCGACGCCGGCGACAACGGCCGCATCGAGTACTCGATAAGTCGCCGGCAGTCCGACCGCGAGGAGATGTTCCGCATCGATCCGGAGACCGGCATGGTCTACGTGAACAAGGCGCTCGACTACGAGACCAAGATGCAGCACGAGCTGGTCATCTTCGCCAAGGATTTCGGCGCCCAGCGACAGACGTCCAGCACCTTCATGTCCGTCAGCGTGATCGACGTGAATGACAATCAGCCGGCGATAACCGTCATCTTCCTGTCGGACGACAAGACGCCCAAGATCAGCGAGAGCGCGCAGCCGGGCGAGTTCATCGCCCGGATATCCGTGAGCGATCCCGACTCCAGAACCGAGTACTCGAACGCGACGGTCACGCTGACCGGCGGCGAGGGTCACTTCGGCCTGGCCACGCGCGACAATATCATCTACCTGGTGGTGGTGGAGCGGCCGTTGGACCGCGAGGAGAAGCCCGAGTACGATCTGTCGGTGGAGGCGACGGACGCCGGCACGCCTCCTCTGCGCGCGGTGCGCACTTTCCGCCTGCTCGTCACCGATGTCAACGACAACGCGCCGAAATTCGACAGGGAGAGATACGAGGCGCATCTGTTCGAGACGTCCGAGCCCGGCACGTCGGTGCTGAGGGTGAACGCGACCGATCTCGACGAGGGCGTCAACTCGGCCATCCGCTACTCGCTGCACAACTCCACGTGGTTCGCCATCAACGAAACCACCGGCCTCATCACCACGGTCACGCACGTCGACTGCGAGGCGAATCCGACGCCGACCTTCGTCGTGGTCGCGACCGATTCCGGGTGTCCGCCGCTCAGCAGCAGCGCGACCGTGCTCGTGACAGTGCACGACGTCAACGACAACGAGCCGATCTTCGAGAAGCCGCTCTACAACGCCACCGTACCGGAGGACATGTCCGTCGGCAGCTGCTTTCTCAAGGTAAGACTGCGAAAATCAGTTTCCACCTCTGCGCGCTGCCGCGAAAACGAACGAGAAAGCGGAGATGGCGTGTTTCGGATACGTCTCGGACGCTAATGTCAACCGCCGTGGCGGGCCGAACGATCAAAAGTGTTTCGCATTCTGTTAGCGGCGTCGCGCTCAAGTGAGCGATATGTTTGCTTTTGTGCTCCGCGCGCCGCGGCGTGATATTGTGCTTTAACGCTCCTCTTAACGCGCTCGCCCGTATATATGAAGTCGTATATAGTAACGCTAACGGCAATTGTTTCGTCAGTCGGGTTGTAACGCAAAAAGTTGCGGAATAGGTCCGCGGGCTGTTGCAATTTGTGAATTGCTTGTCAGGCCGCTTGATATCTATATGACGTGCGGAATATTTTCCACACTTGTCTGGACGTTCGCATTCGCGGGTGTTAACGTCGGCCAACGTAACGCTGTCATCTGTCTTAACAAGCGTGGCACTGTCGGTGTCTCTCTCTCTCTTCTCCCTCTCTCCCTCTCCGCGTAATTGATATTTATATCCACGTAAGAGCTCGATTCGGGCGTGCGCGTCTCGTCGAGTCCTCTATCTTAATTTGTTAAACTATCATCATTTGCGCGCGCGAGAAAGCGCGCGTCGATTATACAGAAGTTGCGATCCGCGCCGCGCGACGAATGCGAAATCGAAGTTTAATTGACGTACGCTTGAGAAATCACGCTAATCTTTACAGCCGTCTTCAATCGAATGACGGAAAAATCCGTCATCGCCTCTTCGGACGGCGATTCCTAATTGACTCGTCATCGGAATCGATTGCGCGAAACGCTTACCGGTCGCGCGGAGCGTCCGCAAATTAATATCTTAAATGTCGCGTCGACGCGAGAGAGTGACAGTACGCGCGCGGTGAACGCGCGGCGCATTTAATCCTTGCGTAAGCCACACGGTTTTGCGTGAAATCAGCTAGGATTCACGTTAAAGGTTCGCTCCACGCAAGCCGCGCGGGCGAAAGGGCACGAATGAACGTATCGCGAATCGGCCGTCGAGGCATGTACGTTAACGTCGGGAAAGCTGTAATTGATACCTGAGAAAGCGGGATGAGAGATTTTCCTCGGCGTGTTTCAATTAGTACGGCGAATATTCTCGGCGAGAGAGAGAGAGCGCGCGTTATCGATCATCGATTTTTATTCCGTGAGAAAGGTGACCGGCGCGCGCAGGCCGGAGATGAAACAAATCCGCGCGCGAATTCATTTGCACGCGATCGGCACTCTTTCTCTCGAATACGAGTGAGAAGTCTGCGACTCGAATGAGGAAAGCGTCGCGTACGTATGCGAGCGCGAATCGTTCAGAGCGATATTCCGAGTGGCGTCGCGCCGAGTTCTCGGCGGTTTTGGCGCGCGTATATCGACCACGTGGCGCTCGCGGAGAGAATTCCGCCGATGTTAGCGGAGCCGCCGCTATGTTAGCCGAGACGCTCTTCCCCGGAGCGGTGTTAGAGCGCGAACAAGTTAGTCCCGACACCGATGGTGCTTTACGAGCCGGCGCATCGGTATATCCTGCCGAGCGAGAAAGCGGCATTTGTATACGCGCGCGCGGGATAACGACGAGGGGGACGCCCGCGGGGTAGGGAATAAAGAGCAGATTCCGGAAAAGGTAGGGTTGGCAAGGAGGAAGGGAGGGGGAGAGGGTGTTGACGACGTCTCCGACATTCGAGATGTCGCGTCGCTTTGCAAAGGCGATTACGCGTGTACCGGCTATCGCCTGATATTACGAATGATCGTATTACGCTTGACGTAATCGTCGAAAGTAACATTACACCGGCTGACGCCGCGACTCGATAACGCGGCTATCGCGAGATAGAGTCGCGGAAGGTGGACGTCGGCGTAAGAGGCGGAGGTAACGAGTTGTCGTTAAATACGGCTCTCGGCTCATCTTCCCGTGGACGCGCACTCCCGCTGAAAGCCCGCTGAAAGTGAAAGCTTGATGTAATACGCCGATAATGCTAGAGAGACTAATTCGCCGCAACCGACGCGTCGATCGTTGACGTTATCGCGTTGACCGTTAAATCACCCGGATACAGTAGATGTGTTTCTTTACGCCTCGACGAAACGCAATAGAACACGCTTCCCGCCGCACACGCTTAACGTATCTTAATAATCACACTCGAGAGAGCGGCGAGAGAGCGTCATTCGCGATTCATAGACTGCGAATTCCGAAGGGAGGAAAGGACGAGAGAGAAAGCAAACCTCCCCCGCTCTCCTCCTTCCACGATCGTCTGTTTCTTTTTTTTATTGCGCGCGTTCCATCTTTTTCGTTCTCGCTCGATTGTCGTCCGCTTTAATGCCGATGGAAATTGCACGGGAATAAACTCGGTGCATTTTTCAATCGGCTTGCGCGAGGCACGACCGGCGATGCGTCCGGCGGCGGGTCCTCGCC